CCCGAAGCCAGCACGGCCAACTTTGGCGCCGCACGCGGCGACGACGGCCGCGACTCGGACGTCGAAGACGAGCCGCTCGAGCCGTACGAGGAGCCGGGCCAGATCACACTGCCCGGCGCCAGCAACAGTCGTGAGAACCGCTCGTGCTGGCTCGTCTTGAGGACCACCACCCAAAAGCTCTTCCACAACCTCGTGCTGCGGCCCGTGTATGCCGTGGGCGGATTCATGACGGCGCCGCTATATGCGGCCGTCATCTCGCTCGTCGTCGCGGTGATTCCGCCGCTGCAGAAGTTTGTCGACTCGCTCGAGCCCGTGGTGGGCGCGCTCGAGACGGCAGGTGCGTGCAGTATCCCGCTGACCATGGTGGTGCTCGGCGCCTACTTTGTCGTCGACGCCTCGGCGGTGCAGTCGCAAAATTCGGTGCCGCAGGCCGTACCGCCAAGTGCGCCCGCCGGCGATGGATCGACGTCGATGACCGGTCCGCAACCCATGCCACCCAATGGCGCCAAGCCGGCGACTGGCGACGATGAGGGCGACGACGAGGATCCGTGGCGTCGCGCGTCGCTCGAGTCGTCGGTGGCTTCGGGCGAGTCGACGCTGGTGCAGCGCGACAGCAAGCGACGCGGGCTTGGATCGTGGATGGGCAAGAATCCGTGGAACAGCGGCTCGTCCAACGGCGGCGGTTCGGACCTCGAAGATGCGCGCGCGTACGTCGACGAGCCGGCGTCCTACGTAGCCGCGTCGTCGGCCAACGCGGGTGGTGAGGATGAGGCGGCACGCAATGCCGACCTCAACTCGCGCAACTCTGCTGGCCGCCACCAGAACGCACTGATCAAGCAAGTCGATGCGGCTCGATCGGCGGCGACGATGGAACGGCGTACGATTGCGGTGGCGATTTCGTCGCGCATGGTGGTGACGCCGCTGATCCTGCTTCCCGTGGTGGCGTGGTACGCGATGGCGACGGGGAGCAACGTCATGGACGACCCCGTGTTTGTGGCGTGCGCGTGTCTGATCATTGGCTCGCCTCCGGCGCTGACGCTGGCGCAGATCACGAGCCAGAGCGCCCAGGGCAACCCGAGCTTCGAGCGCCTCATCTCCAAGACCATCTTCACCGCCTACACCTTCTTTGCCGCTCCGACTACCGTCTTACTCGTGCTCGCCGCGCTGCTCATCACGGAAAACGACATGAACAAGGGCTGAGTTGGGCCAGAAACGCGCGCGCCGGCAAATCGAGCTTCTTTCAGTCAACGGGATGCATGCGTGTGCGCGTGTGTGTGTGTATGGAATGTTTACAATTTCAGGCGGGGGAGCGTTGGAGTGTTGCAAGGGAGGAGGGGATCCTACCAATCGCCGTTGTTGGAGCTCTTGCCGACAACGTCGTCGACCTTGATGTCGCCAGCGATGATCTGTTCGAGCATCTTTTTGGGGATGGTCCAGTCCTTGAACATGTGGTGGGGGATGTTGTTGGTGCGGCAGTAGGTGGCCAGGTCGTTGTCCTGCTTGTCCTTTACGAAGAGGACGTCTGCGTGGCGTGCGGCCGACATGTCCGAGATGCCGTCGCCGGCAAAGAAGAGCGTGGGGCGATTCTTGAGTTCGCGGTAAGGGGCGATGGAGAGGCTCTTGTCGTGGCCAAAGTGGTTGTCCGGGTGGCGGTAGACGAGTTCCCAGGTGGTGCCCTTCTTTTCGGGGTCGGTGAAGTTGACCTCGTTGGAGATGACGTCGATCTCGTTGGCGTCCTTTTCGCCGATCAGGTTGGAGAGGATGCTGCGGATGATGGGCGTCATACCGGACGAGACGATGATGACGGGGATGTTGTTGGCCTTGGCAAAGGCGTAGAACTCCTTGAAGCCCGGGTCGAGGGTGACGTCGCGACGCACCAGCTCCTCCATCTCGGAAAAGGGACGCTTGACCGACTCGATCATCTGCTTGAAGCCCTCGCGGTAGCTCACGCGCTCCTCGACGATCTCGACGTTGATCTTGCGACGCTCGGTGTAGCCCATGCCGACGGTGTCGACCATGTGGTCGTTGGAGTCCTGTCGATACAAAGAAGTTTTCAGAGTGTCAATACTTTGGACCCGATCGACTCGCCAAGGAGGGGTAAGGAAGGGGCCAACTTACGAGCAGCGTGATCGTTCCGTCAAAGTCCGTGAGGAAGACATACTTGGCATCGGCGTACTTGAGGTGCGACATGGTTGCGAATGATTCTACAGGATGGTGCAGGGTTGGTGGAGAACGAAGGCGTGTGTGGATTCGAGAGACGCTATATACTGCTTGCAACCCGTCCGGAAGATCAGCGGCTGTGGATTGGGCGTCGACACTTGCACTCGTGCGTTGGTGCGTTGGTGCGTTGGCGATGGACCATGCATGCACCCTGGAAATCGAGCCAAGCGAAGAGTGCCGATTTGTTTTGGTTTTTTTCTTTTTCTTTTAAATATTATAACAAGTCGCAGCACATCAACAGTCGCGTGTCGAATGCAGGATGTGCGCACCTCGCACCACCCCATGCGCTCTTGCAGGCAGTGGGCGAGTGTGTGGGTGTGCTTGTCGCCAGCGCATCTTCCATCGATTCCCGATGCTTTGTCCTCCGCCCTTCTCGCGACTCCATCGGACAGGCCCGCCCACGTTGCGCATCGGCCATGCGAGCGGTACAGTGCTGTACAGTGCACGATCGATAAGTTGAACCCGCGGCCTGCAGCGAGCGCACTCGCCTGATCAGCAATCCTCCTTGCGCCCTGCACTTCTCTTGAGCAACATTGCCTACGAGTCCAGCCAGCGTCAACTTGCGCATGACCGCTCATAAGCACCCTCCAATTGCCGCCGACCAGTTCGCAACGAGGGATGGATTTCGAACGAACGAACAAACCCAATTCCTCTGGATCCCTGGCCTTTGGGCCTGGCGGCTGCAACGTGCGAAGGTCGAATGCAATCCACGTCATGCTGCATCGCCCAGCGGCGCACCAGCCATCGTTTCAAATCTCGCCCCACCCGAATCGCAACCGGTCGAATCGCAACATGTTTTGCATTTTCAACTTCTTCCCAACCCGATACAGCCTCCGCGCTCACCAATCGGGAACCCGCAATCTCGATCACCACCGCCCGCCAAGAGCCAATAGCCAGTAGCATGGATCGAAAGATACTAGAATGACATTAGACAGATTCGGCAGCAGCGCCATACAGTATTGTGGTGCCACTTGGTTACTGCAGCGGCATGGGCGCGTCAGGTACGTCGCCAGCCGACTGTGCATCGTGCGCCGACGCATCGGCATCGCCATGGCCTCCGTGGCTCGCCGCACCCAGATTGTTCCAGCGCCGGTTAAAGTAGATCTCGAGCGGCCGACCGCCGTAGACATAGTTGTTGAACTTTGCGATGGCCGTCTCGGCATCCTGAACGCTCGCAAACTGCACCACGCCGCACCCCTTGCTCCGGCCGCCTTCAAACATGATCTCCGCCTCGTCCACCTTGCCCGTCGTCTGGAACAGCTCCACCAGATCCTCGTTCGACGTCGACCACGGCAGATTCTTGACAAAGATCTGCTGCGACGGCGCCGTCGGTGTCGGGCCAGACGAGCGCGGCGCTGGCGCAGATCGAGGCGCGTGGGCGGCCGGAACGTACCGGTCGCCTCCACCGTATCCACCGCCATATCCTCCGCCGCCGTAGCCTCCACCGTATCCACCTCCGTACGGGTCACCTCCATAGCCTCCGCCATAGGGGTCGCCGTATCCACCGCCGTATCCACGACCGCCGTATCCACCACGTCCGCCATACGCTCCCGCAAATCCACCACGCGGTGGAGGCGGCGGAGCACCGTAGCCTCCCCGGCCGTACGGATCCATGGGCGGGCCGGCGGCAAACCGGTCGAGCCGCACCTCGAGCTGTCGACCCTTGAAGTCATAGTTGTGGTACATGGCGATCGCGTTCGAGGCATCGTTGGAGTTGCCAAACGCCACAATGCCCGTGCCCTTGGAGCGTCCGTCGGGCCCCATGTTGATGTCGGCGCGCGTCACGTTGCCCGCCGAGCGGAAGAGATCCTTGAGGTCCTGCCAGCTCGTCTCGTACGGCAGCTGGATCGCAACAATCCCATATTAGTGCAAAGCTCAACGACAGCGGCTCGCCGGAATGAAAACTTACGTTGCCAATGAACAGCTGGGTGGGTGCACCGGCGCCGAAGCCGCCGCCGTAAGGGGGAGGAGGAGGCGCGCCATAGGGACCGCCTCGACCGGGAGGCGCGTAGCCGCCTCGTACTCCCGCACCTCCAAAGCCGCCACGGGGTGCGGCGCCTCGAGGCGTGCTTGGGTTGGTGCCGTAGCGCACTTGGTCCTCGCGGTCCTGCGATCGCGACGATGTAGGCGGAGAGCAGAGACGGGGGAGAGCAGAGATGCTGATCAGTCGATGGTCCCCAAACCAGCGCCACAACGGCCGCACTTACCTCGCGCACAAAAACCTGGCGGCCCTCGAGCGTCTTGTTGGTGAGCGAGCTGATGGCCTTTTGCGCCTCGTCTGGCGAGCTGTACTCGACGATGCTGTGCGATAGGCAAGCGGGAAGAGCAGTGTCAGCTGTGCAGCTCCATTGTTCCACTGTGTCTGTGTCGCCGGACGTACCCGCAGCCTTTGGAGCTTCCGTTGGGAAGCGTGAGGACCTCGGAAAAGACCACGTTGCCCGCTGTGGTTGTCCATCGACGAAGGCAGGCGAGAAGGAAGCAGGTCGAGAGTCGCCCCGGGGTATACAAAAGCGCAAGAACCTTCCCATCAGCAATCCTATCCCACTCCGCCGTGGCCGCGGCACACCTCTTCGAGCGTTGTCTGGCGAGACTAGAGGCTGCTCTCCCAAGGCCCCTGAATGTCAAAAACTACGCACCCTCCCTCATGAAATCCTTGAGCGTGTTCCACTTGACGCCATAGCTGAGGTTCCCCACATAGACACGGCAGTCCTTCTGACTCTTTCTGGAAGCTTCGTGTGCAGCGTGTTGCGATGCGCCTGCGCGGTCCCCGTAGTGGCGTGGGCGGTCGGAGCGGTCGGAGCGGTCGGAGCGCTCGCGGTACGAGTCGCCGTTGCGGCCGGACGAACGCGCGTCTGCTGCGCCTGGCGATCGCGAACGCGCGCGGTCCTGCATCATGGCATCGCGCTCATCACGTCCATCACGTCCATCGCGGTCGTCGCGATCATCGCGCTCGTAGCTGTCGTTGTACTGTGGAGCGCCGTCGCTGCGGTCCATGTTGACTGTGGGAGGCCGAGATGGGCGTCAGTGGATTCGCACGACTCGGGGAGCAGAGCACGGCTTACCTTCCGACATGGCGATGCTCTTCCGTCGTCCAGTGTAGATCCTTGTATATCGAAAGCGAGTGGATCCGGTGGTGGAGGGAAGGACTGTGGCACAGCAACGCTGCTTCGACTTCAGGGTCGCTTCCCGCCGCCATTCGCGTCCGCCGCATCTCATTCGGCCGTCGGACATGCAAGGCCTAACACCAGCGGAATCAAAAAAAGGGCAACAAAAAAAGAATGCATTGACGGGGACTCGA